TGTCAGGAGAGAGAGGGTTCTACATGCATGTGGGCACCAGGGGAGTAGCTCCCAGGGTAATCACAGCTCATTAATTCACTTCTAATCACCAGGAATTTTGGAAGGAGGCCAAAAAATTGGAAGCCCCCAAGTTTTCACGGTGCTACAATGCAGCCCTGACCGATTTCACAGCTCCTTGCCAAAGTAAATCAGGACTCAGGCCACATCTGTACAGCAAAGAGGGCTCAAGCCCAGAACTCCACCAGTCAGATTGAAACTGGGAGCACTGGCGCAAGACCAGCTCACCACCAGTCACTATGGCACGCCTGTTTTCACCCACTAGGTGGTGGTATCTAACGCATCTTGGGCTCTTGTTGGGTTCTTGGTGGTGACATGAGCCTGTTCACACCCAGTTCAACACCCAGAAAACTCTCTGGATGCCACCAGCAAGAGCTGGCTCACAGCTATAGAGGGCAATATTTAGAAGCCTTGACAGCATGTAACCAACAAGGCCCTCAGGCCTTGTAGGAAGGTGGGAACAGAAGCTGCGTGGAGACCTCATAGCAGCCTTCCAGTATCTGAAGGGGGCATATAGGGATGCTGGGGATGGACTCTTCATTAGGGACTGTAGTGGTAGGACAATGGGTGATGGGTTAAAACTTAAACAGTGGAAGTTTAAATTGGATCTAAGGAGGAAATTCTTTGCTGTGAGGGTACTGAGGCACTGGAATGGGTGCCCAGGGAGGTTGTGAATGCTCCATCCCTGGCAGTGTTCAAGACCAGGTTGGACGAGGCCTTGGGTAATATGGTTTAGAGCGAGGTGTCCCTGCCCATGGCAGGGGGGTTGGAACTCGATGATCTTAAGGTCCTTTCCAACCCTAACTATTCTATGATTCTATGATTTCATATGGATTTGTGCTCTTAAGGTTGACTATGAGCCTGGGGTGTTTTGTAAAACGTCTGGGCATCCAGTAATGCAGCTCTGCCAGAAAAACAACACTGAGATAGTTACTCCCAGCTTTAAGGACAACTGGTCTACTTCATCTCCTTCACCACCTTGGTGTCCTCATGCCCTACCTGATATCTTGTTCATCATATCAATACTCTTGGAGGCTCAAGCTGTGCCTAGGCACAGGGGTTCAATGGACACCTTTCAGCCTTCCATCCTTAGCATGTTTACAGTGTTGTGATAACTGATAAAACATGCCCCAAGACATTAATCTGATGGTCCCATTGTATGATCTTCTTCTTCTTAGCCCCTGAACCTCAAAAATCAAAGTGTCCTCTCACACAGTCATTTTTGTGGCATTTTCCACCAGAAACGCAGTATCTGACTGATACATGCACCTTCACGTTGAGTCGGTGAGAAATCGGCAGTGGATGCTCTACACAGACACTGCACCTCTTGTACCCACTTTCCACACTTTGCATGTGCTGTTGTGGTGGAAAGAAAGTCATCTGCTTGATAATCCCAGCTCAGACCTGGATGGTCCAAAGACCTGCAGCTTGGTTTTGGTCTTAGAGCCGAACACACAAGCTCCTTGCAGATGCTAGCAGGAGTTGGACCACGGAGCTGTCGAAGGAAAGGAGCCACAATAACTAACATATTTCCAGACAACTGAAATCCTGGATGAGATTTTTCACTGCTACTAAAACAGAGATGATTTCATATGGAAGGTGCCAGAACACTCATCTCGAGAAACTGAAGGTATCATTATAGCTTAGCTGACAGGCAGAACAGGTTTTGATATACCCATCCAAACCATTCCTTCACTAAATTAGCCCAGTGCTTCAGGCTATGTACTACCAGCGTATAAACAGTACTTAAAACAACTCGGTGGAAATGCTGATCAAGCCCCTGTACGAGCTGGGGGTTTGCAGTCTCTTTTCTGAGCTGGTCTCCCAGGCTCCCGTTGTAGTCAACCGAAACAGTTGGTTTGTCTGATCTCCAATGGGTGTTTCATCCCATAGGAAGGTAGAGACACAAATCAGGTCTTCTGAGTTGCCTCCACATGGGCCCATTTCTCTTGGCTGACTCCACCTCCTTCCTTTGAACCCTTCACTCTACAAAGTAGATCAGTAAAACACCCATAGACCCGATCACGATGTTCATATTAACTCTTTATTTCTCCTAGAGATGAGATGCTCCAGGCACCATGTCTACAGAATTAATCATGCAGCTAAGGCCCAACACCACTTGGTAGTGTGCAGAATTCCACAGCTTCCACTTCTTACTGTAGAGGAGAGGCTTTGTCTTAATGGGAAAGCCTTACCCAGTGCCTCAGATAAGAAGTGGGGTGGTGACGATGCAGCTGGTTTATCACTTGGATCCTGAGGAACGAGGCTGGTTCAGTGAGCGAGGTAGGAGCAACCACCACCAAGGTGAGCAACCGGCCTCAGCTGCTGGAGGGCAGCTCTACCACGGCCTTTCACAAGCCCAGGTAGATGCACAGCACCCACACACTGAACCTGTGGGACATGAGCCAGAGCAGATGCAAACACGGGCTCCTTTCAGCAGGGTTTGCTAACACCACATTTCACTGCTGCAGCTGACTGCTCCACAGCCTGCCTTTGATGGTGGTGATAACCTAGTTTGGACTGAAACAGCGTGTCCGGACCTCCCCACATGCAGGGCACTCACAGCTGCTCCCAGACTATGCTCTGCAGGTTTGATTTAGCCCTTTGTGCTCCCCATCGACCTTCTCCAGTTGCTTTCATGCCTCTACAGCCATTTGCAAACAGGTCTCCCCAAAGGATTTCCCAGCAACCTGAGGATCCCCCTCCCCACTGGCTGCCACCCCCAGGACTCTTCATGGTTAGCTTCCTTACCAGTGCCTGTCAGATTTTCAACACCAGACATCAGATCAGTTCCTTCTTTCCTGTCTGTATCAGAAGAAATGGGGTAGCCCTAAACCTCAGTGAGGATGCCCCATCCCTGGCAGTGTTCAAGGCCAGGTTGGATGGGGCTTGGAACAACCTGCTCTAGTGGAAGGAGACGTTGTTCATGGACTTTCTGCTCCTTTCTTTCCCTGCAAGTGCAATGAGAGCAAAATCTACATGGACAGTTTTGTCCCCTGGTTATTTAATGAGTGACTCCTGAAGCCAATGGTGGACCCAAGGTGTAGCCACATGTCTTGGTTCAGCAGATGGATCCCCCCAACACACATTCATCTGTAAGCAGCTTCTCCCACTTTATCACTGATATTTTCTTAATGCTGGGTCAGATCTCCACAAGCTGCTTTATCCAGTCAGAGTTCTCCAATCATAGTCAATCAATGAGTTCTCCTCATCATAGACATCAGGGTCGCGCCCTCCCATAGACCAATACACACACCACAAACAGGGTTTCAAGCTTTTAGTTGCCAAAGACAAAGGTTCCAAAGAGCTGAGCTCAAGGGCTCAGAGAACACTTGAGGAAACAAGAGCAACCATCACAACCGTGCCCCAGACCTGGGGTGCATGGCTGGAGAATGGTTGTGGAAGGAGAGGAGAGCTCGGGTTATGTGTGACCTATTCAGAGAAGCAGTGACTCAGTGATGGAGAAGAAACCATTGCCTCAAAGGTGAGGTCAACGTCTTCTTCCATTCCACTTCTGGCAGATTCTGGCATGCAAATATCAGTTGTGGGATGCATCTCCAGAAGAACCGGAGCCACTTCCAAAGACAGACCAGTAAACCCGCCTTCGGGAAGGCCAGCCTCCTTCGGGAGTGTGTTCTCCAGTTCCATAGCCACAGCTGTCCTCACAATAACCCCCTTCCCCTCCAGAGGTAACACCATGTGAAGAACCATAACCTTCACTGTCAGAACCATAGACACCCCCTGAGCTGGATTCCCAACCTCCAGAGCCATACCCTCCACTGCCAGAACCACAGATACCTCCACAGCTCGACACCCCACCTCCTGATCCGGAGCTTCCACCTCCTCCTGAGATGGAGCATTCACTGCCTGAGCTTCCACCTCCTCCATACCCTGAGCCTCCTCCTCCACAACAGATGGAGCCACCACTGCTTGAGCTTCCTCCTATTCCATAACCTGAGCCTCCTCCTTCTCCCCCACCAATGCAACCACCACTGCCAGAGCTGGATCCCCAACCTCCAGAGCTGCCACCTCCTCCAGAGATAGAACCTCCACTGCCAGAGCTTCCTCCTCCTCCATAACTTGAACCTCCTCCTGAAATACCTCCTGATCCAGAGCTTAACCCTCCACCAGAGATGGAGCCTCTCCTGCCAGAGCTGGATCCCCAACCTCCAGAGCTGCCACCTCCTCCAGAGGTGGAGCCCCCATAACCTGAGCTTCCACCGGACCTTCCACCTCCAGAGATGGAGCCTCTCCTGCCAGAGCTTCCTCCTCCTCCATATCCTGAGCCACCTCCTGAGATACCTCCTGATCCAGAGCTGCCTCCAGAGATGGAGCCACCGCTGCCAGAGCTGGAGCCCCAACCTCCTCCAGAGCTTCCACCTCCTCCATACCCTGAGCCTCCTCCTGAGCTTCCTCCTTCTGATCCAGAGATGGATCCTCTCCTGCCAGAGCTCCCTCCACTGCCAGAGCTCAGCCCCCCACCATGGGGACTGGATCTGCCACTGCCAGAGCTGGAGCCCCAACCTCCAGAGCTGGAACTCCCGATACCTGAGCCGCCTCCTCCAAATCCTGAGCCACCTCCAGAGCTGCCACCTCCAGAGATAGAGCCTCTCCTGCTGGAGCTTCCTCCTCCTCCATATCCTGAGCCACCTCCACCAATGCAACCACCACTGCCAGAGCTGGATCCCCAACCTCCAGAGCTTCCTCCTGATTCAGAGATGGATCCTCTCCTGCCAGAGCTTCCTCCTCCTCCAAATCCTGAGCCACCTCCTGAGATACCACCTGATCCAGAGCTGCCTCCAGAGATGGAGCCGCCACTGCCAGAGCTGGAGCCCCAACCTCCTCCAGAGCTTCCACCTCCTCCATACCCTGAGCCTCCTCCTGAGCTTCCTCCTCCTCCATACCCTGAGCCTCCTCCTGAGCTTCCTCCTCCTGATCCAGAGATGGATCCTCTCCTGCCAGAGCTTCCTCCACTGCCAGAGCTCAGCCCCCCACCATGGGGACTGTATCTGCCGCTGCCAGAGCTGGAGCCCCAACCTCCAGAGCTGGAACTCCCGATACCTGAGCTGCCTCCTCCTCCATAACTTGAGCCTCCCCCTGAGATACCTCCTGATTCAGAGCTTCCTCCTCCTCCAGAGATGGACCCTCTCCTTCCAGAGCTTCCTTCTCCTCCATATCCTGAGCCACCTCCTGAGATACCTCCTGATCCAGAGCTGCCTCCAGAGGTGGAGCCGCCACTGCCAGAGCTGGAGCCCCAACCTCCTCCAGAGCTTCCACCTCCTCCATACCCTGAGCCTCCTCCTGAGCTTCCTCCTCCTGATCCAGAGATGGATCCTCTCCTGCCAGAGCTTCCTCCACTGCCAGAGCTCAGCCCCCCACCATGGGGACTGCCTCTGCCACTGCCAGAGCTGGAGCCCCAACCTCCAGAGCTGGAGCTGCCAATACCTGAGATGCCTCCTCCAAATCCTGAGCCACCTCCAGAGCTGCCACTTCCAGAGATGGAGCCTCTCCTGCCAGAGCTTCCTCCTCCTCCATATCCTGAGCCACCTCCTGAGATACCTCCTGATCCAGGGCTGCCTCCAGAGATGGAGCTGCCACTGCCAGAGCTGGAGCCCCAACCTCCTCCAGAGCTTCCACCTCCTCCATACCCTGAGCCTCCTCCTGAGCTTCCTCCTCCTCCATACCCTGAGCCTCCTCCTGAACTTCCTCCTCCTGATCCAGAGATGGATCCTCTCCTGCCAGAGCTTCCTCCACTGCCAGAGCTCAGCCCCCCACCATGGGGACTGGATCTGCCACTGCCAGAGCTGGAGCCCCAACCTCCAGAGCTGGAACTCCCGATACCTGAGCTGCCTCCTCCTCCATAACTTGAGCCTCCCCCTGAGATACCTCCTGATTCAGAGCTTCCTCCAGATTCAGAGATGGAGCCTCTCCTTCCAGAGCTTCCTCCTCCACCATATCCTGAGCCTCCTCCAGAGATGGAGCCTCGACGACCTGAGCTGCCTCCTCCTCCATATCCTGAGCCACCTCCAGAGCTTCCTTCTCCTGCACAGATGGAGCCACCAGTTCCAGAGCTGGAACCTCCATGACCTGAGCTTCCTCCTCCACCTCCAAATCCTGATCCCCCTCCAGAGCTTCCTCCTCCATACCCTGAGCCACCTCCTGAGATACCTCCTAATCCAGAGCTGCCTCCAGAGGTGGAGCCGCCACTGCCAGAGCTGGAGCCCCAACCTCCTCCAGAGCTTCCACCTCCTCCATACCCTGAGCCTCCTCCTGAGCTTCCTCCTCCTGATCCAGAGATGGATCCTCTCCTGCCAGAGCTTCCTCCACTGCCAGAGCTCAGCCCCCCACCATGGGGACTGCCTCTGCCACTGCCAGAGCTGGAGCCCCAACCTCCAGAGCTGGAGCTGCCAATACCTGAGCTGCCTCCTCCAAATCCTGAGCCACCTCCAGAGCTGCCACCTCCAGAGATGGATCCTCTTCTGCCAGAGCTTCCTCCTCCATATCCTGAGCCACCTCCTGAGATACCTCCTGACCCAGAGCTGCCTCCAGAGATGGAGCCGCCACTGCCAGAGCTGGAGCCCCAACCTCCTCCAGAGCTTCCACCTCCTCCATACCCTGAGCCTCCTCCAGAGCTTCCACCTCCTCCATACCCTGAGCCTCCTCCTGAGCTTCCTCCTCCTCCATACCCTGAGCCTCCTCCTGAGCTTCCTCCTCCTGATCCAGAGATGGATCCTCTCCTACCAGAGCTTCCTCCACTGCCAGAGCTCAGCCCCCCACCATGGGGACTGCATCTGCCGCTGCCAGAGCTGGAGCCCCAACCTCCAGAGCTGGAACTCCCGATACCTGAGCTGCCTCCTCCTCCATAACTTGAGCCTCCCCCTGAGATATCTCCTGATTCAGAGCTTCCTCCAGATTCAGAGATGGACCCTCTCCTTCCAGAGCTTCCTCCTCCACCATATCCTGAGCCTCCTCCAGAGATGGAGCCTCGACGACCTGAGCTCCCTCCTCCTCCAAATCCTGAGCCACCTCCAGAGCTTCCTTCTCCTGCACAGATGGAGCCACCAGTTCCAGAGCGGGAACCTCCATGACCTGAGCTTCCTCCTCCACCTCCAAATCCGGATCCCCCTCCAGAGCTTCCTCCTCCTCCATACCCTGAGCCACCTCCTGAGATACCTCCTGATCCAGAGCTGCCTCCAGAGGTGGAGCCGCCACTGCCAGAGCTGGAGCCCCAACCTCCTCCAGAGCTTCCACCTCCTCCATACCCTGAGCCTCCTCCTGAGCTTCCTCCTCCTGATTCAGAGATGGATCCTCTCCTGCCAGAGCTCCCTCCACTGCCAGAGCTCAGCCCCCCACCATGGGGACTGCCTCTGCCGCTGCCAGAGCTGGAGCCCCAACCTCCAGAGCTGGAGCTGCCAATACCTGAGCCGCCTCCTCCAAATCCTGAGCCACCTCCAGAGCTGCCACCTCCAGAGATGGATCCTCTTCTGCCAGAGCTTTCCCCTCCATATCCTGAGCCACCTCCTGATCCAGAGCTTCCTCCTGATTCAGAGATGGAGCCTCTTCTGCCAGAGCTTCCTCCTCCTCCATATCCTGAGCCACCTCCAGAGCTGCCACCTCCAGAGATGGAGCCTCTCCTGCCAGAGCTTCCTCCTCCTCCATATCCTGAGCCACCTCCTGAGATACCTCCTGATCCAGAGCTGCCTCCAGAGATGGAGCCGCCACTGCCAGAGCTTCCACCTCCTCCGTATCCTGAGCCACCTCCACCAATGCAACCACCACTGCCAGAGCTGGATCCCCAACCTCCAGAGCTGGAGCCTCCATGACCTGAGCTTCCTCCTCCGCCTGAGATGGATCCTCTCCTGCCAGAGCTTCCTCCACTGCCAGAGCTCAGGCCCCCACCATGGGGACTGGATCTGCCACTGCCAGAGCTGGAGCCCCAACCTCCAGAGCTGGAGCCTCCTTCATACCCTGAGCCTTCTCCTCCTGCACCTCCGGAGATGGAGCCTCTTCTGCCAGAGCTTCCTCCTCCATATCCTGAGCCTCCTCCTGAGATACCTCCTGATCCAGAGCTCCCTCCAGAGGTGGAGCCGCCACTGCCAGAGCTGGAGCCCCAACCTCCTCCAGAGCTTCCACCTTCTCCATACCCTGAGCCTCCTCCTGAGCTTCCTCCTCCTGATCCAGAGATGGATCCTCTCCTAACAGAGCTTCCTCCACTGCCAGAGCTCAGCCCCCCACCATGGGGACTGGATCTGCCACTGCCAGAGCTGGAGCCCCAACCTCCAGAGCTGGAGCTGCCAATACCTGAGCCGCCTCCTCCAAATCCTGAGCCACCTCCAGAGCTGCCACCTCCAGAGATGGAGCCTCTCCTGCCAGAGCTTCCTCCTCCTCCATACCCTGAACCTCCTCCAGAGCTTCCTCCTCCAGAGATGGATCCTCTCCTGCCAGAGCTGCTGCCACCACCGGAGCTCAGCCCCCCACCGTGGGGACTGCATCTGCCACTACCAGAGCTATAGCCCCAACCTCCAGAGCTGGAGCTGCCAATACCTGAGCCTTCTTCACCTCCAGAGATGGAGCCTCTTCTGCCAGAGCTTTCCCATCCTCCGTAACTTGAGCTTCCTCCTGAGCTTCCTTCTCCTGCACAGATGGAGCCACCAGTTCCAGAGCTGGAACCTCCAAGACCTGAGCTTCCTCCTCCACCTCCAAATCCAGATCCCTCTCCAGAGCTTCCTCCTCCTCCGTAACTTGAGCTTCCTCCTGAGAAACCTCCTGATCCAGAGCTTCCACCTCCAGAGATGGAGCCTCTCCTTCCAGAGCTTCCTCCTCCTCCATATCCTGAGCCTCCTCCTGAGATACCTCCTGATCCAGAGCTACCTCCAGAGATGGAGCCGCCACTGCCAGAGCTGGAGCCCCAACCTCCTCCTGAGCTTCCACCTCCTCCATACCCTGAGCCTCCTCCTGAGCTTCCTCCTCCTGATCCAGAGATGGATCCTCTCCTGCCAGAGCTCCCTCCACTGCCAGAGCTCAGCCCCCCGCCATGGGGACTGGATCTGCCACTGCCAGAGCTGGAGCCCCAACCTCCAGAGCTGGAGCTGCCAATACCTGAGCCGCCTCCTCCAAATCCTGAGCCACCTCCAGAGCTGCCACCTCCAGAGATGGAGCCTCTTCTGCCAGAGCTGGAGCCCCCATATCCTGAGCCACCTCCCGAGATACCTCCTGATCCAGAGCTTCCCCCAGAGATGGAGCCGCCACTGCCAGAGCTGGAGCCCCAACCTCCTCCAGTGCTTCCACCTCCTCCATACCCTGAGCCTCCTCCTGAGCTTCCTCCTCCTGATCCAGAGATGGATCCTCTCCTGCCAGAGCTCCCTCCACTGCCAGAGCTCAGCCCCCCACCATGGGGACTGGATCTGCCACTGCCAGAGCTGGAGCCCCAACCTCCAGAGCTGGAACTCCCGATACCTGAGCCGCCTCCTCCAAATCCTGAGCCACCTCCAGAGCTGCCACCTCCAGAGATGGAGCCCCTCCTGCCAGAGCTTTCCCCTCCATATCCTGAGCCACCTCCTGAGACACCTCCTGATCCAGAGCTGCCTCCAGAGATGGAGCCACCGCTGCCAGAGCTGGAGCCCCAACCTCCTCCAGAGCTTCCACCTCCTCCATACCCTGAGCCTCCTCCTGAGCTTCCTCCTCCTCCCCCCGAGATGGATCCTCTCCTGCCAGAGCTTCCTCCACTGCCAGAGCTCAGCCCCCCACCATGGGGACTGGATCTGCCACTGCCAGAGCTGGAGCCCCAGCCTCCTCCAGAGCTTCCTCCTCCTCCATATCCTGAGCCACCTCCACCAATGCAACCACCAATGCCAGAGCTGGAGCCCCAACCTCCAGAGCTGGAGCTGCCTATACCTGAGCCGCCTCCTCCAAATCCTGAGCCACCTCCAGAGCTGCCACCTCCAGAGGTGGATCCTCTTCTGCCAGAACTTTCCCCTCCACCATAACCTGAGCTTCCTCCTGAGATACCTCCTGATCCAGAGCTGCCTCCTGATTCAGAGATGGATCCTCTTCTGCCAGAGCTTCCTCCTCCTCCATACCCTGAACCTCCTCCAGAGCTCCCTCCTCCTCCATATCCTGAGCCACCTCCTGAGATACCTCCTGATCCAGAGCTCTCTCCAGAGATGGAGCCACCGCTGCCAGAGCTGGAGCCCCAACCTCCTCCAGAGCTTCCACCTCCCCCATACCCTGAGCCTCCTCCTGAGCTTCCTCCTCCTGATTCAGAGATGGATCCTCTCCTGCCAGAGCTTCCTCCACTGCCAGAGCTCAGCCCCCCACCATGGGGACTGCCTCTGCCACTGCCAGAGCTGGAGCCCCAACCTCCAGAGCTGGAGCTGCCAATACCTGAGCCGCCTCCTCCAAATCCTGAGCCACCTCCAGAGCTGCCACCTCCAGAGATGGAGCCTCTTCTGCCGGAGCTTCCTCCTCCCCCATATCCTGAGCCACCTCCTGAGATACCTCCTGATCCAGAGCTTCCCCCAGAGATGGAGCCGCCACTGCCAGAGCTGGAGCCCCAACCTCCTCCAGAGCTTCCACCTCCTCCATACCCTGAGCCTCCTCCTGAGCTTCCTCCCCCTGATCCAGAGATGGATCCTCTCCTGCCAGAGCTTCCTCCACTGCCAGAGCTCAGCCCCCCACCATGGGGACTGGATCTGCCACTGCCAGAGCTGGAGCCCCAACCTCCAGAGCTGGAACTCCCGATACCTGAGCCGCCTCCTCCAAATCCTGAGCCACCTCCAGAGCTGCCACCTCCAGAGATGGAGCCTCTTCTGCCGGAGCTTTCGCCTCCTCCATAACTTGAGCTTCCTCCTGAGATACCTCCTGATCCAGAGCTGCCTCCTGATTCAGAGATGGATCCTCTTCTGCCAGAGCTTCCTCCTCCTCCATATCCTGAGCCACCTCCACCAATGCAACCACCACTGCCAGAGCTGGATCCCCAACCTCCAGAGCTTCCTCCTGATTCAGAGATGGATCCTCTCCTGCCAGAGCTTCCTCCACTGCCAGAGCTCAGCCCCCCACCATGGGGACTGCCTCTGCCACTGCCAGAGCTGGAGCCCCAACCTCCAGAGCTGGAGCTGCCAATACCTGAGCCACCTCCTCCAAATCCTGAGCCACCTCCAGAGCTGCCACCTCCAGAGATGGAGCCTCTTCTGCCGGAGCTTTCGCCTCCTCCATAACTTGAGCTTCCTCCTGAGATACCTCCTGATCCAGAGCTGCCTCCTGATTCAGAGATGGATCCTCTTCTGCCAGAGCTTCCTCCTCCTCCATATCCTGAGCCCCCTCCACCAATGCAACCACCACTGCCAGAGCTGGATCCCCAACCTCCAGAGCTGGAGCCTCCATGACCTGAACTTCCTCCCCCTCCAGAGATGGATCCTCTCCTGCCAGAGCTTCCTCCACTGCCAGAGCTCAGACCCCCACCATGGGGACTGCATCTGCCACTGCCAGAGCTGGAGCCCCAACCTCCAGAGCTGGAGCCTCCTCCAGTCATGGAACCTCCATGACCTGAGCTTCCTCCATATCCTGATCCTCCTCCACAGCTGCCTCCACCACCATATCCTGAGCCACCTCCTGAGATACCTCCTCCACCATAAATGGAACCTCCACTGGCATGACTGGAGCCTCCATGACCTGAGCTCCCTCCTCCTCCATAGCTTGAGCTTCCTCCTGAGCTTCCTTCTCCTGCACAGATGGAGCCACCAGTTCCAGAGCTGGAGCCTCCATGACCTGAGCTTCCTCCTCCATAACTGGAGCCTCCTCCTGAGATACCTCCTCCTCCACAGATGGAACCACCACTGCCAGAACTTCTTCGTCCACACCCTGAGCCACCTCCTGAGCTTCCACCTCCAGAGATGCATCCTCCATGACCTGAGCTCCCTCCTGAAATACCTCCTGATCCAGAGCTTCCTCCTCCTCCACTGATGGAGCCTCCTTTTGAGCCTCCTCCTCCTCCTCCACATATGGACCCACCACTTCCAGAGCTTCCTCCTCCTCCACACCCTGAACCTCCTTTTGAGCCTCCACCTCCACTTATAGACCCACCACTTCCAGAGCTTCCTCCTCCTCCAGAGATGGAGCCTCCTTTTGAGGCTCCTCCTCCACTTCCACCTCCACCTCCACCTCCACATATGGACCCACCACTTCCAGAGCTTCCTCCTCCTCCACAGATGGAGCCTCCTTTTGAGCCTCCTCCTCCTCCACATATGGACCCACCACTTCCAGAGCTTCCTCCTCCTCCACAGATGGAGCCTCCTTTTGAGCTTCCTCCTCCTCCACAGATAGAGCCTCCTTTTGAGCCTCCTCCTCCACCTCCACCTCCACCTCCACATATGGACCCACCACTTCCAGAGCTTTCTCCTCCTCCAGAGATGGAGCCTCCTTTTGAGCCTCCACCTCCACCTCCACTTATAGACCCACCACTTCCAGAGCTTCCTCCTCCTCCTCCTCCACACCCTGAACCTCCTTTTGAGCCTCCTCCTCCACTTATAGACCCACCACTTCCAGAGCTTCCTCCTCCTCCAGAGATGGAGCCTCCTTTTGAGCCTCCTCCTCCTCCACCTCCACCTCCACATATGGACCCACCACTTCCAGAGCTTCCTCCTCCTCCACAGATGGAGCCTCCTTTTGAGCCTCCTCCTCCTCCACATATGGACCCACTACTTCCTGAACTTCCTCCTCCATACCCTGAACCTCCTTTTGAGCCTCCTCCTCCACTTATAGACCCACCACTTCCAGAGCTTCCTCCTCCTCCACAGATGGAGCCCCCTTTTGAGCTTCCTCCTCCACCTCCACATATGGACCCACCACTTCCAGAGCTTCCTCCTCCATACCCTGAACCTCCTTTTGAGCCTCCTCCTCCACTTATAGACCCACCACTTCCAGAGCTTCCTCCTCCTCCACAGATGGAGCCTCCTTTTGAGCCTCCTCCACCTCCACCTCCACCTCCACATATGGACCCACCACTTCCAGAGCTTCCTCCTCCTCCACAGATGGAGCCTCCTTTTGAGCTTCCTCCTCCACCTCCACATATGGACCCACCACTTCCAGAGCTTCCTCCTCCATACCCTGAACCTCCTTTTGAGCCTCCTCCTCCTCCACATATGGATCCACCACTTCCAGAGCTTCCTCCTCCTCCACAGATGGAGCCTCCTTTTGAGCTTCCTCCTCCTCCTCCACATATGGACCCACCACTTCCAGAGCTTCCTCCTCCTCCATACCCTGAACCTCCTTTTGAGCCTCCTCCTCCACTTATAGATCCACCACTTCCAGAGCTTCCTCCTCCTCCACAGATGGAGCCCCCTTTTGAGCTTCCTCCTCCACCTCCACATATGGACCCACCACTTCCAGAGCTTCCTCCTCCATACCCTGAACCTCCTTTTGAGCCTCCTCCACATATGGACCCACTACTTCCAGAGCTTCCTCCTCCTCCTTCATATCCTGAGCCTCCTTTTGAGCCTCCTCCTCCTCCTCCACTTATGGAACCACCACTTCCAGAGCTCGATCCCCATCCTCCAGAACTTCCCCCTTTTTCTCCTCCAGGGATCGACCCCTTGCTCGTGCTCGTGGTGGCACCTCCAGAGCTCACCCCCCCTTTCCCTCTTTTCAAGCCTGCAAATTTGACTCCATAGACTCCAGCAGCACTCGGATTGTGGTCAACGACACCTGCAAGAAACGGAAATGATGCTCTCCTTATTCTTACTCACAACAGCCATAAGCACCACTCATGTACGTGATTATGTGTGGGCCACCCCTGGCAGTGCTCAAGGCCAGGTTGGACACAGGGGCTTGGAGCAAGCTGCTCCAGTGGAAGGGGTCCCTGCCCATGGCAGGGGTTGGAACTGGATGAGCTTTAAGGTCTCTTCCAACCCAAACCATTCCATGATTCTAGGAACACTCACTGCAGCCCTTCCTTCAGGGAAGTTGGGATATGGGATCCTCTCTCCTTTAGCTGGCCTCTGTCTTCCACAAACTAGTGGGGTTTTTCCTTCACTTCTGACATGCAATGAGCACATCGACCTATAGAATAATGACCTCTAGAATAAGAGACCCATAGAATAATGAGGAGTTTCTCAATTCTTACAAATCTGGTTGAAGTTACCCATTATGTTCCAAAGTCACTATCTCAGGGCTGACATATTCATGCATATACACACGTATTCGCACGCACAAGAGGATTACACAAGAGCACTAGGGAAATATTATAGGAGCTAAGCTAGGAACTAAGCTAGGAACTACCATAGCTTGCTTTGAGGGTAGATGCTATTACCACAGACACCAAACAGGTAAAGGTGCTCTTAAAAAGCAAGGTACTTACAGATGGTGGCAGGAGACCCTTCCTGTATCCTGTGAAGGAAAAGTGACATTGAGACAATGCACTCAATAAAAGACCAAGTCAGGGTAGGCTCTATCAATGAGCCAGTGAACGATAGAGCAATTAATTCTGGAGATCCAAGTGATAGGTCAAAGAATGGGACTCTCTGCTTGGTGTTGGTGCTTCTCTCCAGGATGGATAGCTCCTACCTACCTGGTCTCCTCCTCCTCAAGGAGTGATCGGTACATGGCGATTTCAATATCCAAGGCCAACTTTGCGTTCAGCAGCTCCTGATAATCATGAAGAAGATGAGCGAGGTCGTTGTTGGCCTGCTGCAGGGCGTTTTCCAGCTCCTGGAGCTTCTCCTGGCCATCCCTGACAGCACTGCTCCCGCGCATCTCAGCATCTTTGATGCTCTCTTGGAGGCTGGTGCTCTGCAGGGGGCACAAACAGAATGTTCCCATTTCCATCCTATGGGCTTTTCCAACCCTTCTGGCAGGATTCTGGAATCAAAACACCTGCCTCAATGACAGAACCTAGGGTAAATTAACCCAAATTGAATCCCAGTGTAGACAGCCAAAACCTGTATCTGCTCCATTTAGAGGAGAATTCACCCTCTCTAGGTTTGCCTTCAAGGGACAGGCTGAGTTATCCTGCACCCAGTCCCCAGGTAGAAGTGACTTAGATAGTTAACTCCTGCTGGAAAATGTCAGCTTTACCCTTTTCCTTGCAATTTCTATTTCTGGTTGAAGCCTTTGGATCTGCCTGATGAGTTCCTGGATTTCCTTATAACTGCTGCTCAGCTGCTCACGTTGATTTACCCACATGTTCTGCAGGTCCTGGTACTGGTGTGCAGAGAAGAAAAAAGACATTTTTGGTTTCTTTTCCATTGAGCAGACTTGCCCCCATGTCTTGTCGATGTCCACTCACCCTGCCCCGGTACATGGCATCTACTTCAGCTTTGCTCCTCTGAGCAATTGTCTCATACTCCTGCCTGACTTCTTCAATGATGCCGTCCATGTTCAGTTCTCTACTGTTGTCCATGGACAGAACGACATTGGTGTTGCCAACTACTGTTTGCAGCTGGGACAGCTCCTGAAAGGGAAACAAGGTTTGGGATTTTAACAGTGTTATGTGAGCCTTCCAGGTTGTGTCGTGAGGAAAGAAATGGCACCTTCCAGAAGAAACCCACTGGAACTTCCCTACCTGCATCCTCCAGGTTCTATTGTCCCACCACCTTTTTCATTAAGTATCTCCTCACCCTTTGTGACACACCAGACCCCATCTCACTTGCAGTTTGAAAAGGACTTTACAGGTCAAAGACAAAGGTTGTGGTCAAAGGGAAGCTGTGGCTTCCCCATTCCTGGCAGTGTTCAAGGCCAGGTTGGACACAGAGGCTTGGAGCCACCTGCTCTAGCGGAAGGGGTCCCTGCCCGTGGCAGGGGGTTGGAATTGGATGGGCTTTAGGGTCCTTTCCAACACAAACCATCCCATGATGATCCACTCTCCACAGCAAAACATTCAGGCAATATTTCTGGGAACCCTACAGAAGACCCGTGTCCTTCAAGACCTAAGGGTAGTTTTTTAACCTGAGGAGCTTAATACTCACAGCTTCATGCAAGCATCTGAGGAACTCAAGCTCCTGCTTCAGGATTTCCACCCGAATGTCAAATTCCATTTTTCCCATGTAAGCACTGTCCAGTTCCTGTAAAGAAAGCCATTGGCACATTTGTGTTTCTTTGGTTCAGATTCTCCCCTGAAGTGCAGTTCTTGCAAGAGTTGGTACATTTCTATAAGCCCTTCATTCCTGGAGCCAAATAATGTTCCATAAACCTCAGCTCTCATTTGAAAAGCAAGTGGAACAAAAGGAAAGGGAGTGAATAAAGACCTGCACTCATCCTAAAAAGGACTGGTTCAGTCTCCAGAGGAGATGATTCCTCTCCAGTCTGGCAGTAAAAATATGCAGTTTCAGTGCCTTTCCATGGGGTAAAGGTTGGACTTGATGGTCTTAAAGGTCTTTTCCAACCTAGTTAACTCTATGAATCTATGACTTCAGTTAGAGGACAGTTAAAGTTAAGCAAAGACCTGGCTTTGGAAAACCTGAGCAATCATCCAGTTACTGCTTTATTTCTGAGGCTTTGATTTAGCTCCTTCACCTTTTTAAGCTCCACGAACTCCTCTTCTTTGGACGCACGCTTGTTGATCTCATCTTCAAATCTGAATGGAAAAGGAACAGATTGATTGTTGCTATCTCACTTTTTCCATCAGGGGATCAGAAACCAAAGGGAATCATCCATCAAGGAAATGTGTCAACTTCATCTGACTGCAGTTTCTGGCACCTGCAAAACTCTGTGCTGAATTAGTCAGCAAGCTGGGGTAGGGCCAGATCAGTTCTAACCCCCCTGTAATTCTGAACTCAGCATCCCATTTCTCAGAGCTGTGGACACGTTATTACCTTTGGATGCAGCTAAGTCAGGAGAAGTAATGACTCTTCTCAACTTGACTCCATTGACCCCACTTCTCAGCTCTGTCCCTCCCCACTGTCCAGGTTGACCACAACCCAACAACTATCAGCAAGAGACCTGGGTTACCCATTGCTTGGGGGATGAAGGACCTGGAGGAGATGGGAAGAGTAGGAGATATCTACAGGGTCTTTCATTTCCCTCTTGCTGTTCTGGGTTCTACCCTCACCAAATCTGCTCTAGTCTTCCAGCACCACAGTCCCTTAATGGACCTACTGCAGAGCAGTGCTGTAACCTTTTGGAGGTGCGAAGCCAAGCTGTGCCATCCCAGGGCATTGCCATGGCAAATTCCAGCCTGCTTTTCCCCACACTTGTGATTATTCACCTCTTTTTATAATCCTCCACAAGCTGAAGCATATTGTAAGCTTCCGGATCCAGCTGCTCCCGCTGGCTCTGGAGCGTTTCCAGCTGCCTCTGCAGGTTGCTAATGTAAGACTGGAAGAAGGAGGTGATGTTTCTGCTCTCTTCTGGTCGGACACTTTGCTGCTGCAGCAGTTCCCATTTGGCGATCAGAGCCTGGTTCTGTCGCTCGAGACACTGGACCTGAAAGGCAAAAGAGAAGAACCTCTCAGGCACTGCAGGGCACTGGGGGAAACACCAATATCAGCGTTGGTCCCAATAGAAAACAAACCCAAATTAGAATTTCCAATGCAGTAACATCCAGAGGTTTCATTGGGTGAGACCGATTGAACCAACACTGATACCAGCACAGGTTACAATGAAGGAGGGACAACTTTTGTCCCAGTCTGTTGCATAAGATGGGTTTGATTTTGCTGCTGCTCCTCAAAGCTGATACTGAAATCTTTGCTGGTTTTTCACCTCTTAAATGCACAATATTTAGGGGGTTGATTGGGGTGGAGGAAGAGTTCGGTTGTTCTTGGGCTACCTTAGACATCGAATATATGAGAAGAGTTAGCCCGCTCTCAGCAGATCATATATAACCATGCTCTTGCCTTAGAGAAGAAGAAAGACAGACCTATAGCATGCAGAGCTGATACGTTTAGAGACCAGAGGGATGGCATCTCTTCAGCTGAGGCACTGAACAGATTTTACCCTGGAAGCTGATTTCCTTTTCAATATGAAAAGAGTCAAAAGTGCTCCTAGTTTCCAGGAATTAAAACTTCTGGGTGCAACCAACACCCTTTCTGTACGGAATACAAGAAGCCCTTAAGTCTTCACATGTAACACACAACACAAGCTTCCACCCCATGCAGAGACACATGTCAACACCTGACTGAAAGCAGGAGGTTTGGAAGGGTGGAAGCCGTTTTGTGGCTGTTTTGTTCCTGTACCTATGAGTAGCAATGAAGGAGAAGACCAGACTGCAAAAAGAGGTGAAAGCATTGTAGCAGATAAAGAAGAAAGATGTGGGGGTCACTGGCCTCCTCAAAGAGGCTGAACCTCCAAGCAAAGAGCCCATTTGTGTTGTGACTTGGAGAAACACAACACTTTGCTTGGGGAAGATCAATAAAGAAATGAATAAAACCAGAACACATGAAGGATGTTCAAGTCCATCCCCCATCAGCAATTCCCAGGCCCCAGAAGATTTCCAGCCATGCAGAACACTTCTCCAGTGAGTCAATGAGTGAGTTCACGTGCTGGTGACATCCTGGTACTTTGCTGTTTTTCTGCCACCAAAGACAACTCAGAGATACTTATCCCAGGGCTAAATGTGATTCATGTTTATAGCAAGCTATTAAAAACCTCACACCAGTAAGAGGGAATCAAGCCAGTGCTGGGGCTTTGAGGGGAGAAGATGCCATTAAACGTGTCCTATGACTCACATGGGCAGAGCGGGACCCGTTACAGTTCCCCCTTTCCCGAAAATGGTGCAAAAGAGAACAGGGACTCACCTTATCGATGAATGATGCAAATTTGTTGTTGAGATCCTTAATCTGCTCTTTCTCATCCAATCTCACTCTCTGGAACTCAGGGTCCACTTGTACTTCTATTGGCCTCAGCAGGTTGGTGTTGACATGGACCTCCTCAATGCCTCTGGTAACACCAGCCTGCCCCAAGCCCTGTCCAGCCCCTCCTTCACCAAAGGTGCTTCCACCAAGCACCTCCCTGCCTGCAACTCTTCCATATGTGCTGCCAAGCTGTGCTTCACCCCCTTGAGAAGCTCTCACAAAATACCTTGTTCTACCAAAGCCCCTATCCAGATGTCCCCTACCACCAAACCCCAGGCACATCCCATCTCCTCTTCCTTCTCCTCCGTAGCCTCCGCTGGTAAAAACATTCCTAAAGCCACCAAGGTTGTGGAGACTCCTGCTGCTGTAACCATACCCGTAACCACGGTATCTTCCTTGTCCTCTATTGTCTTCACAATGGCTCACGGTACCTGAGCTTCTCCCAGCACCAAGCGTGCCACAGTGAGCAGAAGAAGAACTGAAATTGCCATCCCCAAACTGGGAGAAGCGCCAGCTCATCGTGCTGCCTGCAGAGTGTTAGGACGAGAGAGCAGCGGGGAAGGTGGCAAAGCAGGAGGAGAAACGAGAGCGAAGGATCCTCAGCTCCTCTGCCGGGGGTGATGGAAGTTCTCCTTTATATGTTGTGGAGGAGTTCCTCTCCATTCCGTGGTAATTAGCAGGTCTGTTAATGCTGTTGGGTTTGGTTCATCAGGCAGCAATTAAGGCTGCCTGAGGAGAGGTCAGAGTAAACACCACACACACCAACGGAGATGTTGTGAAATTCCCCAAATCCTGCTTGACTCATGAGCTTTGCTGGGATGAGATTTCCTTATCTCCTTCGCCTGCCCTCCATATTAATTACAGCTCGCACAGTTATCCATGCACATCACCGTGCCTTGTTCTCCTTCGCACCTCCCCACCTCTTTTGGCCTCTCATTTCACGAGAACCAGGCCTTGATACTGTCCTCACATTGACGTGGGGGTGGCTGACCTTGCTTCACCGTGTCACCAGAACCTCCTACCAGGAGGGAAGATCCCTTAGCTTCCCATTGCCACTTTTCTCTCATTCCCAGTATTTCCACCCAGGAGTAAGTATTGGTCCTGCAGGGAGAGGCTCTTCTTGCTCACGGCATTGTCTTTGGTCCATAAAGCTGAAATAGTGCCTAAAAACCAGATAAAATGGGATCTCCTCTATCACTTTTAGCTTTAAATAAATGGATGTGGAGTTTTAAATGGAAACGAGAAAGCTCTGAGAGAAATTTCAATCAATTGAATGAATCTTTGAAGTATTAAAGATGAGATTGCTTTAGGGAACAAATGACCCATCACTTCTCACAGACTAGGACTCTTCTGCTGTGGTTGCTCCTACTCTTCCATGTGGGAATAGATAGACCATGAACTAAACCTGCCTGTTTGTGGAGTGTGTTTTAAAGCCCCTGCTACTGGAGAGCTGAGATGTCAAATCCAGAGGTGGGTTCCAAGTTTTTCTCCCCAGGTTCTCCCTCTGAGCCTGACCCATCCCTCTTCATCTCTGTGCAAGACTCCAGCTTCTCAGTCTGAGCACACTCCGGTGCAAGACTCAATGGCAATGGACTCAATGCCCCTTTGTGAGCCAAGTCCTGATGCTGACAACACCACTGTGAGCCTTCAGCCTTGACTAACAGCTCAAGAAGACAACTGAGATCTGGTGCACTGTCTCCAAAACCACTGGTGGAACAACTTCCACATGGCACGTGCATCCCCTTTGTCCTCTGCACCACATCAGGAAGAGCTGGAGATGCTCTTCCTGCCAAAGCTGCTGGATAAAGCCACACTGTGAACCCTTCAGTTGCATGAAGGTTATGTGGTCAGGGCTTTGTAACCCTTGCTCTGGCTCCATTTGTGAAGTGCCTCATAAATTCCCCCAATGAAAGGCTTGTGGGGAGCTCTATTAGGCTGGTTGTTACTGGTCCAGCTGAAATATCTTGAGGTGGACAAGAGTTTGGATGCTCAGTGACCAGAGGAAAGGCTTTTCCCAGAAGCAGGCACAGTGTTTTCCAGACAACCAGATGAGAAGTGCTGCTTTTGCCTCCCAAACTTGGTCTCTTCTAGCCTTACATCAAGAATGGCCACCTGGTACTGCAGACCGTCCCCTGGTGCTGCTTTCTTGTAATTAAACTTCATTGATTACCTGCATTTTAATGAGAATTTCAACCAGATTTCCCACTGAATTCCCTCTTTTTTATAGACCTATTGAAAAATCTGACTTGGGTTGAGAATTCTGTGTCCTGCTGGAAAGAGTAATTATGGTGAACATCAAAAATGTCATGTCGGTCACAAAAGTGAATGGGGGCAAATCTGGGAACAAACCCATTCCAACACATCTGGGTAAGGTTTGCCAGAGCATTGGAATATCGCACAAAAACCTTTCCTGTTCTGTTTCAGTTGGGCTCAGTAGTTTCTAGATGATGGTGCCTATAAGGAAAACACAATGTAAATTGTCCTCCTTCACTCCCATGTGTTGGGTGAGCTGAAAGATTCCTTCAAGAGCTGCATCCACTTTCTGCAATGGTCTTTGCAGGACAAACTGTGTCTGAGCAACACTGAGACTCAATCTCCTGTGTGGCCTCGGAGTCATTATTAGACTCAGGTAAAGATTAGGAGGACAATATATGACTTCATGTCAGGAGGAGGTGAGACTTAGTGGATGTGAGCCATGATTGTCCATAATGTCTGAGCTAAATCATCCCTTTTCCTTGCCTTAACTATCAACTCCCCAGCACAAGAATTTCCCAAGGGTCACTGTTGGTCACCTCTGTGTTGAGTTTGTGTATAACTGCTTCGGGGGGAAATTCATCTTCATCCTCCTTCTTCCCATTTTGAGAGGCTCATTCCAATGCGTGCTGCGTCAGGGCAATACTTTAGATCATCCACATGGATCTTGGAAGGAAGTGTTATCACCTACAGGAGGGAACACCCACAGATCAAACAAGCTAGTTCCATGTGGAACAAGGTTAGATAGATGTCTATCCAAAATCACTGCCCTACATGCATACATCAGCTCCCTCATGAAGCAAAGCAGGTGGCAACTCATGCAAGACCAATGAACTGTAGTCTGAAGGAGCTTGAGAAGGGGCCTGCAAACCCTGCATGAGAAGAGCCTCCATCCCTCCCCACGTGCCACCTAATCCAGAGCACGACGTGTAGGCTGCTGTTGTGATGGTCGCTGGCACCAGCTCAACCCTGGCACAACAAGAGCCACACCTGAACCTGCTGAGCTGGCTCCAGAAACAGCGATGCACCCAGCGAGATGTTCACACATCCTGTGGATGCAGGGGGAGCTTCCTGTGGTACCTTCCCCTTCCCTGCAATGAGCTGGCATTGCTCCTGGATGTGCCTGGGGATCTTCTGCCCTGACCCTTCAAAAGAAACAGCAAAACAGTCCCCAGCAGAGAATGAAAAATAAAAATATAAAAAATAAAAGTCATGGAATCATGAGACCTCACTTGGAGCATTGGGTGCAGTTCTGGTGTCCTCAGCATAAGAAGGACATGGATCTGTTGGAACAAGTCCAGAGGAGGCCCTGAGGATGAGCAGGGAGAGGAGCACCTCCTGTATGAAGATCGGCTGAGAAAGCTGGGGCTGTTCAGCCTGGAGAAGAGAAGGCTGTGGGGAGACCTCAGAGCAGCTTCCAGTATCTGAAGGGGGCTATAGGGATGCTGGGGAGGGACTCTTCATTAGGGACTGCAGTGACAGGACAAGGGGTAATGGGTTCAAACTGAAACAGGGGAAGTTTAGATTGGATCTAAGGAGGAAATTCTTTCCTGTGAGGGTGCTGAGGCACTGGAATGGTTTGCCCAGGGAGGCTGTGAATGCTCCATCCCTGGCAGTGTTCAAGGCAAGGTTGGACAGAGCCTTGGGTGCCCTGGTTTAGTGTGAGGTGTCCCTGCCCATGGCAGGGGGTTGGAACTGGATGAGCTCAAGGTCCTTTCCAACCTTTAACTATTCTGTGATTCTATGAATCCCAGCCTGGTTTGGGTTGGAAGGGACCTTAAAGCCCACCCAGTTCCAACCCCTGCCAGGGGCAGGGACCCCCTCCACTGGAGCAGGGTGCTCCAAGCCCCTGTGTCCAACCTGGCCTTGAACACTGCCAGGGATGGAGCAGCCACAGCTTCTCTTCTCCAGGCTGAACCAGCCCAGCTCTCTCAGCCTGTCTCCTTTAAAGGTACCCCAGTCCTCTCCATCATCTTTGTGACCCTGTTCTGGAGACAATCCAATGGATCCATGTCCTTCTTATGCTGGGGGCTCCAAATGTCCTTAATGCCCTTCTTGACTACCTCACTGCTATCTGGGGGCTCTTCCCCAGTACCAGACATTTATCATTCTCTAACAAAATCATACACTGAACTTGATCTTTTTCCCCAGAAATGCCTCATAGGAACAAGATTAATTGTATACACTTTATAATGAATGTGAGTACTGGAAGAACCGACATGCTTGTCATGGAGATGGGTCATCATGGAATATACCAGTTCATGGAGCAATTCAGGGGCTGTTCAAACACCCACATGAGCAACTTGGCTTTTTGTTGATGTGGGTTTTTAAGATGAATTTAAATAGCACCCCAACTTAGTCATATAGATTTGACTGCCTGGGCTCCCTGTGTAGCCGTTGGAGCCAGCACAGAACATCCACGTGTTATTGCACCCATCCAGTACAGTCCATGAGGCAGGTGATGATGTTCCTCCCATCTGGACAAGCCTCTGAGAGAGGTGATATGAGTGTGCCCTTTGGGATGCCTCATTTCTCTCTATGGACCATAAGGGAACGTGGAGCTCGCTCAGCTCCTGCCTGTTGGGTGGTGAGGGCATCATGAGTTGATCATCCTCCATCAGACCCATGTCACAGAGAATGTGCCAAGAACGAACGTTTTCAGACCACAAAGACAATTCACAAACAGGCCCAAGCTGTTCTGGAGCACAGCTGAAGCCAGAACACAACCCACATCTGTCTGTCAACCCATGTCGTAAATGGGAATAACAAATCCTAGTGCTCAGGCTGCTGCTCGAGGAAATGCCTCCAGATTCCTGCAGGACCATTTTAATCAGATCAGCAGATAAATAAACGCAGCAATGCACTTATTACTCTTAAACAACTACTTCACACAGTGGACACAGAGCAGTGTAGTACAGTAGCACATTAATAAAGACAGTACTTCAGTTTAATAGCTGTCCAGATCAAGGGGATAGGCTGGACTATAGTAGCACACACAGGATTGAAATGGCAGCTCTTGATCAGTGGTTGCCTAAACACCTGCGTAAGTAGGGCTCTAAGTCACTTAGAAAATGGGATTGAGATCACCCAGAGCACTAATAAAAATGCCTTTCATCCCACAGACTTTCATTTTCTCCCACCTTCCATCCCAGCGACTAACAACAGCCTTTGTCTGTGGCCAGTGAAGGCAGCCACAGGGTTCTGCTCCTTTAACTCCGAGGTTCCCCAGCCTGGAGAGCACCTGGTACTTATTATACAGACACTTGGAAACTGGAATAAGATCCCATGGATGTGATCTGTGGTACATAGAGATCAGATGGAGTTTCCCTCACCGACATCTGGGGAAGACTCAAGGTTGCAATTAGAGCACAGAAATGAAGCCCTGTGAGGGCATGATGAGAGCTACATGAGTTGTCAACTTTTTATAGTAAAAAACTGAGTCTTCATGACAAGGAATCTATAATTAGAGGAGGTCTGGGAAGCCCCTGACATCATAGGATCATGGAATGATGGAATGGTTCGGGTTGGAAGGGACCTTAATGGTCCTCCAGCTCCAATCCAGCTCCAGGGACCCCTTCCACTGGAGCAGGGTGCTCCAAGCCCCTGTGTCCAACCTGGCCTTGAGCACTGCCAGGGATGGGGCAGCCACAGCTTCTCTGGGCACCCTGTGCCAGCGCCTCAGCACCCTCACAGGGAAGAGCTTCTGCCTAAGAGCTCAGCTCAGTCTCCCCTCGGGCAGGTTCAAGCCATTCCCCTTGCCCTGTCCCTGCATCCCTTGTCCCAAGCCCCTCTCCAGGTTCCCTGCAGCCCCTTTAGGCACTGGAGCTGCTCTTAGGTCTTCCCTTTAGGAGC